ACTATATTTGGCATATCGAATATACCATGGGGAGCTTGCCAGGGCGGGATACTCTCATAGCTTGCTGGGCTCTCCGAAAGGCATAAATAGGTAGAAAGTGTCTTGTAATGTGTCGCGTTGCGCAAAGCAGCCTGGAACATGGCAGTGGTTGGGCAGTGGTGGTCAGTTGCCGGGACTGGGTCCCTTGGGGTGGGGAGGACTCTCACCTGCCCCACAGCCTGGCGCAGTGTCTGGTGGTATGGTTCTGGGAGCCTTCTTTTATACTCCCGTCTGGGAGGAGCACCCGTGAGTTCTGGAGGGTAGCCGATGAGGAGATTATCTGGTGCTGGCAGGGTGTGGCTTATGGGTGTGATCCCTGAGTCACCAGAGACTGGGGTGAAGCAGGCAGAGGATCTCTGCTCCGGGTTCCGGTGAGTTCAGAGCCCAAGGTCACAAAGTTCTGCATTATCTGGGTTCCGTGAGACTTCATTCTTGCGTGATGATATATATATATATATAATATATATATATATCTCATCACTGTCATCAGTGTCATCTCATTGTTCATCGATTTGCTTGAGTGGGCGCCAGTAATGTCTCCAGTTGTCCTAGCCCTGATATTTTAGCAGCCTCTCCTTACTTGTCCTTCCCAATGGTGCCATATTGGAGGCTCTTTCAGGGTCAGAGGAATGAGACCCGTTATTGTTACTGTTTTTGGCATATTGAATACGCCACGGGGAGCTTACCAGGCTCTGCCGTGCAGGCGGGATACTCTTGGTTGCTTGCCGGGCTCTCTGAGAGGGACAGAGAATGTATATAAGAGAATACAAGCAAATATGTTAAAATCAAACACATGTGTGCTGCTTTGGGTACATTAGTGGGCTAGACTATGAGAGATCGCTTCCGGGAGCTTTGTTTCATAGTCTCTGCGTCTTGGCCCGTTGATGGGTTTACATGGTACTGCCAGCTGCAGTTTGTGGGTGTGACTGCCAAACTTCTGGAAAATGGGGGATCTTGGTGGAGAAGGCCCAGTCCCGATCTGAGCAGACTTGGAGATCTCAGCCCCAGGTCCCGCATACCTGGGTTCCTCTGCTGTTTCTTTCATGTTTGAGGCCTTGAGCATGGCTGTGGCTGGGTTCTGAAGGTTTTCAGCTGCCAGGGCTCTGCTTGGGGCAGAGAGGAAACTCAACCCACCCTCCCTCAAGGGGCCCTGGTGAAGATAGCCTGGCACAAGGCCAGGGGGTTCTGTGTCACTTTCTTCTGGGAGCTTTGTTTTATAGTCTCTGAATCTTGGCCGTTGATGAGATTATATGGCGCCGGGGGCAGTTGGTGGGTGTGACTGCCAAGCTACTGGAAAATGGCTTATGTATATATTCTTTTTGGTTTGGCGGCCACATGCAGCTATGTTCAGGGCTTACTCCTGACACTGTACTCAGGGATCACTCCTGGAAGGGTTTGGGAAAGACCCCATTTGGTTCTAGCAATTGCATGTGCCCATTTGGGTTGGCTGCAGGCAAGTCAAATACCCTACCCACTGAACTATCCCTCTGGCCCCTTGCCTATTTTTATTCATTTTGGAGCCACATCCAGTGGTATTCAGGGGCTATTCTGGTGGTGCTCAAGGAAGCATATATGTAATGCTGGGAAATCCAGGTGGGGGTTGCCCATATACAAGGCAAGCACCCTACCTCCGTACTATCTCCTTGGTCCGTAGTTTTCACTTTCATTTTTTTTATTACAAACCCATCTCTATTTTCATAGGACAACATTCACAGCACTAAGTGAAAATGAAATGCAAACAGGTTTAAAGCAGTATATATGACCTTAAAGTATTATAAGCATCTATAGAAAATGTTATATTTCTATAATATATATTTTGTGAAAATATAACCAGGGTGGTATGGCCGTAGACAATATACAAATATATATGAAAATATACAACAAAGGGCTGGAGCGATAGCACAGCGGGTAGGGCGTTCGCCTTACACGTGGGCAACATGGCCGACCCGAGTTCGATTCCTCCACCCCTCTCGGAGAGTCCGGCAAGCTACCGAGAGTATTCGATATGCCAGACACAGTAACAACAAAGTCTCCAATGGAGACGTTACTGGGCCCGCTCGAGCAAATCGACGATCAACGGGAGGGCCTTTATTTTTTATTTATTTATACAACAAAATCCTAGAAACAAATATATCTCAATCATAGAATTACTGAAAGTTTGGGCTCTTTGCTTTTGTGAGGGGAAGGGGCAGTTTGAGCCACACCCAGTGGTGCTCAGAGATTATTTCTGGCTCTTTGCTCAGGAACCACTCCTGGCAGTGCTCAGGGGACTATATGGGGTGCCGGGGATCAAACTCAGGTTGGCCGCATGCAAGGCAAGTGCCCTACCCACTGTACCATCACTCTGGCTCCTGCTCTTTATTTTTTAATTTTTTATATTTATTTATTTATTTATTTATTTATTTGCTTTTTGGGTCACACCTGGCGATGCACAGGAGTTACTCCTGGCTCTGCACTCAGGAGTTACTCCTGGCAGTGCTCAGGGAACCATATGGGATGCTGGGAATCGAACCTGGGACCATCTGCAGTGCTGGGGATTTAAAGAGGCCGGCTTCCTCCCAGGCAAGTACATTGCTTGCAGTATCCCCCCTCCTGCAGAACAACTGTAGGGCATTCGCCTTACAAGCGGCCAACATGGCTGACCCGAGTTTGATTCCTCCGCCCCTCTCGGAGAGCCCGGCAAGCTACCGAGAGTATTCGATATGCCAGACACAGTAACAACAGAACAACTCTAAAGTGTAGAAAATATCGACAGAAACAGTGCAAGGCAAACACCCTACCCGCTGTGCTATCTCTCCAGCCCCTGCTCTTTATTTTTTGACAGAAAATTATAATTTAATGAGAAAAGAGCAAATATGTCAGTGCAGTTAGGATCAGAACTATCAAGCTTAATGAAGCAAGCAAAAATCCTCTCAGGGAGAAAAAGAGAATGATTTTGAAAGGTTGCCGAAAGGTCAGTAGGGTCGGTGGGTTAGAGCAAATGGAGAACAGGGGAATGCTGGGATGCGGGCAGGAAAGCTGGTTCAGATGAAGGGGTTTGTATTTTAATCAAGAGCGGCTTCTCCGTGAAATCAGCAGATACTGCTGCATTCAGCGTACTTGCACATCTATCATTTTTGGGTTTGGAGCCCACCCCTGGTGGTGCTCAGGGGCCATTTCCGGCCCTGTGCTCAGGAGTGATTTCTGGGGGTGCTCTGGGACCACCTGCAGTGCTGGGGACCTAAAGAGGCCGGCTTCCTCCCAGGCAAGTACATTGCTTGCACTATACCCCCCCCCTGCAGAACAACTCTGAAGTGTAGAAAATATCGACAGAAACAACAGCTTCGACTCTAACTCCCTGAAGTCATTGGAGCAGATAGCAAACCAGGCAGGCTGAAGGTGAGATTTAGCAGCGAAAGTGTATAAGCTCCGCCTTTTAGAGTAGTTTCTGCCCTGAGAACTAAACCTCCTGTAGAAAAAAAAAACTTGATACCTTCCTGGCCCTCAGGAAAGCGCAAATCACAGTTTGAGACAACTAGAGCCACAGAAATTATAACTTAATTTTTTAAAATAATGAGAGCTAGGAAGCAAGGTGATGGCAAAGTTACAACCAATTTTGTATGTAGACTATTCCTAAATATATTAACTAATCTCTGAATTCCACATGCCCAAGTCAGAATAAAACTTTCCAATGAAAGGCAAAAGAACTGAGTAGACATTTCAGCTTGTACCAGAGACAGATTTTTTTTAGTATGACTTCAACCGAGTTGAAGTGTGAAAATAAATCAAATACATATTTTAGGGGAATAAAATAAATCAAGACTCAGGATAAAATAGATAAATTATTTGGGATATATTCCAAAAATTTTCAACACAAGAATTAGGACATCATCCAGTATCAAAAGAAAAGAAAATTAATATAAATCAACCCTGATTAGAGCCAAATGTTGAATTGAACAAAATAATATTCAACATTTATTGCAATCATATTCAGTAATGGAAGGGAAACTGCCAATAATAAGTGAGCACAGCTGACAGCACACCAGAAATTAGCTCTATTTAAAAAATATATATGTACATATAATTATATATATGTATATATAATTATTAGAAGCAAGATGGCGCCAATGCCTGTCGAACCCCTCGCGCTCTCCCGAACCCAGCTCACCATCTCATTCTGGATGATGCATGACTCAGCGCACCAGGCATGGAGTTCCACGTGTGATCCCTGCTGGAACTTTGTGCATGATTCCTGCTGGACATCACCGGCTGCTTTGCGGGATTAAGACAGAGTGGCGTTGGCGGGATGATGAAATACTGCAGTGGCGTCCGCAGCATCACTGCATCCCCGGGCTGGGCTAAGTCACAACACCATCGAGCATGGAACAGTGACAGTAGCCCGCACAATGACTTGTCCACTGCAGGACGCTGTCCGCCAACCACCGAGTGACTTGGGACTCGGCACAGGTGTTCGACCTGGCACAAACCCTATGCGATGGGGTCTTGCTCTGCAAGCTACTCAACAACCTCCGGGCGCATCCCATCCACCTCAAGGAGATCAACCTGCGGCCGCAGATGCCCCAGCGCTGCCTGGAGACACAGGCAGGTGCGTGTTGTCAGCGTACAAATTATTACAGCAGGCCAGTCACCAGGAGCTTGCATTGGGTAGACTGGGAACACCTGCAGGGATGATTAGAGATCGACCCAAAAGACTCCATCTCTGCCCCAGAAAGCCTGGCAAGCTGCCGAGGATATCCAGCCCGCATGGCAGAGCCTGGCAAGCCACCTGTGACGTACCAAATATGCCAACAACAGTAGCTAAAATGGGTCTCATTTCCCTAACCCTGAAGGAGTCTCCAGCTGAGTTGGGAAGAACGAGAGGGCTCATACTAAGAGGATGGCGTGCAAGTCAACGGGCGGGAAGGCGCCCCGCAAGCAGCTGGCCACCAAGGCGGCCCGCAAGTGTGCCAGCCACATGTGGCATGAAGAAGTCGCACCGCTACCTACCCAACACCATGGTGCTGCGCGAGATCCACAGTACCAGAAGTCCACTGAGCTGCTCATCCTCAAGCTGCCGTTCCAGCGGCTGGTGCTCGAGATCGCGTAGGACTTCAAGACCCCAGAGCTCAGCCGTCACGGCGCTGCGGGAAGCCTGTGAGGCCTACCTGGTGGCGTTCTTCGAGGACACCAGCCTCTGCGCGTTCCCCGCCAAGTGTGTCACCATTATTCCCGAGGACTTCCAGCTGGCGTGCCGCATCCGCAGAGAGAGAGCATAAAGTTTACGACGCTAAAATCTCAGGGCTGGGTCAAATGGAGACGCTACTGATGCCCACTCGAGTAAATCAATGAGTAACAGGATGACAGTGATAGTGATATATAATTTAAAATCGAAAAATGCAATTTAAAAAATTTCTAAACTTCAACAGAATGGAGATAATAAGGAAAGAATCCATAAAGCTGAAAATAGAATCCCAGGGCTGGAGCAATAGCACAGTGTGCAGGACACTTGCCTCGCATTCGACCAACCTGGATTTGATCCATGGCATCCTATATGGCTCCACAAGCACTACCAGGAGTGACTCATGGCTGTAGAGCCAGGAGGAACACCCCCACCCCCAGCAGCCCCGGGTGTGGCCCAAAAACAAAACAACAGAAAAAGAAAATAGAATCCCAGTGATTAATCTCTTTGTTGTCCACATTTTATGACTTTTAGATATTATACTACCTCCATTGTGGAGCAGCACTTTGCTCTACCAAGCAGAGTGGAACAGTCGTCAGGCTTTTTGGGAGACTCAGCTCCAAGAAAGACTGCAGTAGGAGGGGCTGGAGTAATAGCACAGCGGGTAGGGCGTTTGCCTTGCACGTGGCCAACCCAGGTTCCATTCCCAGCATCCCATATGGTCCCCTGAGCACCGCCAGAGGTGATTCCTGAGTGCAGAGCCAGGAGGAACCCCTGTGCATCGCCAGGTGTGACCCAAAAAGCAAAAAAAAAAGACTGCAGTAGGAAATAGTTCATTGTCTAAACCAATACTAAGAGATTACAACATACTATAGTCTACAACACCAACATATTTTCTTATATTTACAGAGAAGTGGGGCTGGAGCGATAGCATAGCAGGTAGAGCATTTGCCTTGCACATAGCTGACCCAGGTTCGATTCCTCCACCCCTCTCGGAGAGCCCAGCAAGCTACCAAGAGTATCCCGCCCACATGGCAGAGCCTGGGAAGCTCCCCGTGGCATATTTGATATGCCAAGAACAGTAACAACAGGTCTCACAACTTGTTGTGAGACATTACTGGTGCCCACTCGAACAAATCGATGAGCAATGGGAGGACAGTGCTACTGTGCTACTGCTTCCATATGAGGTTTCTTTTCCTTTTGCTAGAAGTTCCTGAAGTATCTCTTGGTGGGCCAGTGGTGGTGAATTCCTCTGATGGTTGTCTGAAAAATGATTTCTTCCTCCATCATGTCTGCGTGATAGCATAGCAGGAGGAGTATTCTTGGATGCTGATACTTTCCATTCAGCACTTGCATATATCACCCTCTCTGGTCTGCCATGATAGTTTCTTGCTTGCTTGCTTGCTTGTTTGCTTGCTTTTTGGGTCACACCCAGCAATGCTCAGGGGTTACTCCTGGCTCTGCACTCAGGAATTACTCTTGGCAGTGCTTGGGGAAACATATGGGATGCTGGGAATTGAACCCAGGTCGGCCGCATGCAAGGCAAATGCCCTACCTGCTGTACTATCGCTCCAGCCCCTGCCATGATAGTTTTATGGAGAATCCCACTCTGCTTTTCCTCCAGTAGCTTTTAGGATTCTGTCTTTATCTTTGTTTTCCTTTTTGAGGGAGGAGGCACAGCCAGCACTGGGGATACAGTCCCCAGCCTCATGCCAGTGCTCTGCCCATGAGCACCCCTGCCACGCCCCACACCCCACCCCCAATCATTTATTGGCGACACTCACTTCCTTGTGCTAGTTGAGAATTGTCTAGTTCTCAATTGTATACATTTTAAAAAATTTTGAGGTCATAACTGTCTGTGCTCTGGGTTTACTCCTGGTTTTGCGCTCAAGGATCACTCCCGGTGGGGCTTGGGGAACTATACGCGATGCTGGGAATTGAAATTAGGTTGGCTGTGTGCAAGGCAGTTGCCCTACCACTGTACTGTTCAGTTCCTTCTATTTATTTATAATCTTCTCTTTAATTTATTTGCTAAATGTACATGGGAGAGGCATACCAGGTAGTGAAATGTATATATGTGGGCTGGGGGGATGCCAGGGATTGAGCCAGGGGCCACACACATACAAGGCAAATACTTTTGCACTGGACCAAATCCCCAGCTTCTACCAAGCATTTAAAAAGTTTGAAAATTGTGAAATCTAACACATGTTTCAGGAAACATCAGCATTGGGGAAGTAATGTAGTGAACATACATGTAACTAGTCATTGTCAAGAACCTCCGTCTCCATACTCTCTTCCTGGAAACTGTAAATAAAGCAAACCAAATTCTAAATTCATGACCCAATTTTCCCCACCCTCGCATCACTCACAGTCCTGACATTCCTGATGTTTCGCAGCTGTGCTGGGGATTGAACCCAGGGACCCACACATAGAAGGCCTGTGTTCCACCACTAAGCCACTCCGACCACCCCCCCCCAAGTGCCAGTGTTTCTGCAGCCTTACTTTCTTTGGATCCGTAAAACACCTCTTCCGTGCTTTCCAGGCTTCTAGGAATGGAAACTGTGCAGACTCCCCTGCACCTGGCTCCTTCTGTTCCCATTGTGGGAAATTCACTGATGGCATTCAAGGTTGTAGCTTGTTGGCGCCGCTGTGGGGTGCTGCACTGCTGAGTCACTCACATACGCATTTTGCTATAGGCAGTGGTGGGCTGCTTCTCGGGATGGGTTATTTTTTCTTTTTTAATTTTTAAATTTTATTTTCATAAAGTTGTTCACAGTAATTGTTTACATTCAATATTTCAATAGCAATCCCACCACCATTACATCTTCCCATCACCATTATTTCGAATTTTCCCACCACCACCCACAGGCAGATGCTAAATAGTTTATTTTGTATTGCTTGTTATGAATAGTATGAGATGTCATGCAGCCACTTTTGTGACCGCGCACTTCTGGAATTCAAAGATTTTAAATGTATGGGGTCTGGAGGCATCTCTGCGGTGTACTACGCTCTTCCAAGATTCATTCGTGAGTCTCTGAATCATGGCTGTTAATGCACTTAAATGGCGCCCAGCGGCAGTTCATGGGCATGACTGCCAGGAAACCGGAAGGGCAGGGAGATGGGAGGAGGTCTTCCATTCCCGACTCCGTGAAACCTGTAGTTTTCAGTCACCAGTCAGGTGTACCTGGGTTTTTCAGCAGATTTATTCTCATGTGTGGCAGACTCAGGACAAGCCTGTGAAGGTTGGCTGTGAGCATGGCAGAGATTGGGTTCTGGAGATTTGCAGCTCTAGGGTTCATTTGGGGCAGGTGGAGGAATACACCTGCCCCCTCTGAGGTGCCCAGTGAAGTCAGCCGGGCATGGGGTGGGGCGATATCTCTGTGATGTGCTGCTCTCTTCAAAGATTTGTTTGTGGGTCCTCGGGATGGCTTATTGGAGCAGTAGTGAACCCATCTCCTGCCGGTATGTCTAGTAGTACAGTTTGTGTGTTTTCAACTTGAAAGTGATACCAGAATGGTTGAGAGTGCTTGAGGCTCCATATACTTGCAACACTTATTATTTCCAGTCGAACTTTTGCCAGTTCACTGGAGTGTAGTGGTCGTACATTGTAATTATAGTAATCAAGGTGGGGTTTCCATATGATTCAATATACATCGTCAAGCTACCTATTAGAAATACTCTTGACTTACTGCCAGGAGAGCATTTTCACATCGTGGATGATCATGAAGGCACCTAATTTCAAAGGAGAAATGGGATAGTGGAGCCAGAGAGGCAGTTCAGTACAGGAAGAAAGGCTCTGTCTTGCATATGGCTGGCCCTGTCTTGCTCCTGATCCCCAGTACCATATATGGTGCCCTGAGCCCCGCCAGGAGTGAACCCTGAGCACCACCAGGTGCGACCCTTCCTCTCCTCAATCACTGCTGACAGCTCTCTTCGCAGAATCCCTCTGTTTCACAGATGAGCAATCTGACCCTCTTTGTGGTAGATTGGCTCACTCAGGTCCCAGAGGGGCCAAACCAGGGTTTGAGCAGGCTGTGTTTGTCTCTAGTTCACTCATGCCAAGACTCTCATCTGTGATGTAGTAGCCTGTCCGGCCTGGGCTGGGGAATTATAAAAGGACGGGTCTGTGCCTGGCTCTCTGCCACCTGCTGCCACTCTGGAACTTTGTATGGAAGGAGTGAGCCTGGAAGGATATGCATGACCCTGTCTGCATCTTCTTTTATTTATTTATTTCGTTATAACAGCATGATCTATCAAGTTGTACGTAGGGTTATTTCAGGCATGAAATATTCCAACACCAACCCACCACCAGTGTGACTTTCCCTCCACCAATGTCCCCGCTTTCCCACCCAGCAATGCAGCCTGTTTGCACAAACTAATTTGCAGCCTTGCAGCACAAACTAATTTGTTTTATATTGTTTGTTATAACACAAAGGCAAATGGAATGATTTTATATCAGAGGGCAGGAGTGATAGCACAGCGGGTAGGGCGTTTGCCTTGTGCATGGCCGACCCGGGTTCAATTCCCAGCATCCCATGTGGTCTGCTGAGCACCGCCTGGAGTGATTCCTGAGTGCAGGGCCAGGAGTGACCCCTGTGCATCGCCGGGTGTGACCCAAAAAGAAAAATAAACTTAGATCAGTCTGTAACTGTACCTCACGGTGATTCACTAATAAAAAATTAAAAAAAAAACTTAGGTCAATACGAGTCAATTTGTGATCATTGTTCTATCTCACCGTGATGTTGTTGTCTGAGTTGTTGTCTGAGGATCTGCTGTGTTGATTAGTGCTAGCTGAGCCTTCTATGTTTTTGTTTAGGCTCACTGAGCTTGCTGGGCTTCTTTGCATATTTATTATTTTGTATTAAAGAACTATGATTTACAAAGTCATTGTTAGTTGAGGTTTTGGCACATAATATTTTAACACCAATCTTCGTGGGCTTCTATGCAAACTTTCCAGTCAGATTTGCTGTGATACTACTGGGCTGACAGTATATGAAATCGAGAGGTATCGTACTGCAAGGTTCAGGAGCTATAGCTCTGGAACAATTTGATGGCTTGGCAATTTGATGCGGTTCACTTGTGGAGCTTGGCTGTTTC